CAAGTGACGGTCACAGGATACATATTTTATGCCTTTCCAAATGTTATGTTTTGAACATCCACTTTTAGCCAACTCAGTGAAAACACGTCAGGCCTATCATTTAGTTTATTTCAGACTGCATTACAGTGGCGTACGCAGAAACCTGTGACATCGTGTTATGACATCACGGAAGAGCATATTCCTTGAAAACGTAGCACATAAACAATAACACGACAAGCCTTCCTGTTTTTCTTTAAGATGGACAACTCTAATGCGTAATGACTTAATGAACAATCATTGGGAGAAGTGGAAATGTGACAACTTTACAGATCAAGTCTCTGTGAGGGTCACCTTTCGGGGATAACGTTTTACAGACGGCAGTGGATGGGGAGATTGTAGTGGACCCATGTTGCTTGGCATGGTTTCCCTAGGAGGTGGAATGTCTGTGACATCATCGTGTCTCCAGAAGAGGACTCATGAGTGGTGTACATAACAGGCACATTTAGGTGGGGAACTGCATAGTATCAGACTTGAATTGTCTCTTAAAGGGGAAATATCCCTGACTCTGTTTCATCTGTGGATGTCTTCAAGTGATTCTTCAATACTTGAACAAATCTTTCAGCAGCACCATTTGTCTGTGAGGCGGTGAGGTGAAATGGGGTTTAACGTCGCGTCCAAGATTATTGTACTTATACTTATATAGCGACGTGCGTGCGTGCTTGCATGCACGCTTGTACTAGTCCGGACTGATGCCGATTTTTGTGCTAGCACACTGAGATACCATGCGGCAATTTAACATGAATACTCCACTCAGACACATTATACTGACTCCGAGCCGACCAGTCCTTGTTTTAGCCCCTTAATGCTGGGCGCCAGACAGGGTAACAACAAGTACCATCTTTTAACGTTTTTTTGTATTATACGGCCAGGGATCACAGGGATCAAACCCCGAACCGTCCGCACTCCGGGTGGACACTCTACCAGGGAGGCGGTCTTTTGTCTGTGAATGATATGGTGGACTTCTTTTCTGTTTAATTCCATTTTGTGTCATAAATGCAGCAAACTCTTCAGAAGTGAACCGATGTCAGATACCGGTTCAAATGGCAGCCCATGAGAAGCAAAGATTTGTCTGAGCACCATTATTGTCCTTGTGACCGTCGTTGTATGCACTTTGAGTACACATCTGTTAGAATGAAGAAATGATGCCCCTTGTATTCAGCACAGTCAACATCAACGTGTTCCCTTGGTTGTCTTGCTACAGGCCATTCATGTAGGGGAGCTGATGACGGTGTGGCTTTGACTTCAATGCACTGTCGACATGACTTCACCACTGCTTCTATATCTTCATCCTATGTTGGCCACTGCACAAAGCTTCTGGCTAGACTCTAACTAACTATACCTGTATGTTCACTCTGCAGTTCATCCAAGACACGGTTTTGAAGAGTAGGGGGAAAGATGGCCCGTAGTCCCCATAGCACGACACCCATAGCACAATAGTTCATGCTGAGAGAGTTTCATGTCATCCTCTGCATGTGAAAGGCCATCCGTATGGCGTGTAGCCAAACACCTTGGACAAAACAAGATCTTTCTTCGTGGCTTCAGATATGTCTGCGGCTGTTGCTGGTAGCTTATTAACTTGCGTGAAGTGGAAAACTGGGGTTTCTTCTGGACCATCGTTGTTTAGGATTGGTAGACATGAGAGGAGATCCACATTTGAATGCTGTTCTATTTTCCTGAACTGAATGTCATATAAATAGGCGGCCAAAAATCAATGCCCATCTTTGTTTGCTTGCAGCTGCAAGAGTTGGCACAGGTTTCTGTGGTCCCAATATGGCCAGCAAAGGCTTGTGATCTGTGTCAAGTGTAAAATGTCTCCCAAACAGGTACTCTTTACACCAAAAATTATGGAGAGCGCCTCCTTTTCAATCTGTGCATAATTCTGCTTGCTCTTAGCAAATGTTCTCGAAGCATTCGCTACAGGTTTTTCCAACGGACAAATTGGTATTTCTGCTAACCAAAGTGCGAAGTGAGGCCGTCTTATTGTTGATGGTCATTTTGGAGACCTAAATGTGAAGTTCAGTTAATGTGAGCAAAGAACACTAGCAGTTTTCAAGATTAATTGAGGCTCACATTAATTTCAAGATTTACAGTATATAAATTAAATTCTTGCCTGTGAAGAGATCCCACGTTTAATATACATACACTTGTATTACACATTGTGTGAAACCAAAATGCATGCTCGTGTACTGTCGGAACATGTTTCACGAATAAATATTGAAAACTCTCAACATTCCTTGGCTTATTCAACGACATTGCTTGTGGTGAGAAGGTTATGCACATTTGAAAGACCCCAGCAACCTTGTTCCTAGGATGACGTCCCATAGCATTGTTTTGCCGATGGATCTTGCAACAAAATTCGACAAATTACGTCATTGGGTATTGGGACGTGATTGTAAACTTTGTGCTGCAGGGCCCATTCCACAAGGCGATCGTACTGTAGTGCAACGATAGTCGCAGGTCTATGTTAAAGTATGTGAGTTGCGATAACCTTAGCACTCAATTAACCTATGGGAAGGATGCCTGAATTCTAAAGGTGGACCATTCTATGGTATTAAATTAATAAGTTTCAACTTTTGATGTGGTTGAAGTATTATTCTGTTGAACTCAATTTGATTATGTTGTGGATTGTGTTGGTGTCAGCCTATTCACACATGACAGTATAATTCTAATAAAGTTATAATTGGCCAGTAATAAATAAAATACTAAACTCGCTCCCGTGTTAAACCAAATTTATGAAACTTGTGAATAGTTGTGGTATCTGAGTCACTTTCGCTCATCAGATACCATAACTAATCACTCGTTCTGTAGAATTGGTATTACAAGGGAGCTCGTTTAGTATTCTATATATACAATTAATTGTACATGTTTCAAATTTGTCATACTTTCTTAGGCATGACATCATCAAACTGTGGGTGTTTCAACTTTATGGGACCAGGGTGCAACCTGGTTTTGATGTCAACATGCACCTGGTGCAAGTTAAATCAAGTTCTTTTAATTGAGCCCTGATTTTTAGCTCAGCTGACCAAAAGTCAAGTGAGGTCAAGCCTTGGCCTGTTTGTTTGTCGTCCATTGTGCGTCCATCATCTGTCGTGCAAACACTTGTCCAATGAAACGTCACATGCTTTTTTGGTTTTGGCATTTTTGTGTAGTTAGTTGTGGGGCTAAACACATACATTTCATTTTTCACAAAACTTTCCATTTTGACCTATATATGACCTATGCTTCTAAATTCTCTCAAAATGCATTTCTTCATACTGTAAACATCATCCCCTCAGAAACTACAAGACCAACAAAGCCGAATCTTCATTTGCTTGTTCCAACCAATGATGACGACAACAACCATAATAATAAGATATTGATGGGCCAATAATCAGACAGTGTGTTCAAAATTTGGTATTTGTTTATTTTATGGCATTCTACATATATGTTTTTGGTATATGATATACAGTGTATGTGATAAGTGTTTAATGACACCTCATATGGATACAGTGGCCAGCTCCCCAGCAACATATGCGTGAAGATCTGAGGTAGAACAGGTCTTCAGTAACCCATGCTTGCTGTAAAAGGTGACTAACAGGATCGGGTGGTCATGGCTTGCTGACTTTGTTGATGCATGTCATCATATTATCATGGGATAACATTTATACTAAGTTATCCTATAATAATTAGATCCACATCAAGTGCTTTTATGAGTTATCACGGTGTAATATTTATACATCATTTCATATAATTATAGTTTAGCAAGTAATATTTATCATCAGGTAAAATGTATATATAAAATATCAGTAGTTTCAGTTATAGCTTTTTAGATAGATGCTAGCCTAAGCTAATGGGAGCGCATCTAGACATACTATTCAATAAGACAAGAGTTACGTCTACATAGTTTAATAGATTAGAAGCTTTTAGATAAATGCTAGCCTAAGGTGTCAAGATCCCATCTCCCAGACAAAGGCTATTTATTTAAGTATATCTGTCATCACCTACCGGGGTATATTAGAATAACATTACTTCAATTAAGACTCATTAAGGATTAGCCCCCATACAAGCTCGTCTATAGTGCATTAAGGATTAGCCCCCACACAAGCTCATCTATAGTGACACCCTAATCTCTTTCAAAGCATCCAGTAAATATGTCAACAAGATTAGTGCCAGTCCAACAGGATTAACAGGATTTAGTATTCCCCTCTGTCTAGCCATCCATTTAGCATAGGGCACAACCAATCGTGTATCAACCAATCCCCTTCCTTTTTATTGTTCAAATTTTTATTAAATACATACTGTAGGTAGGTTTTGGGACAGAGAAGGGGTTTGACTCTCTTACCAAGCAGACCTCTCTCCCACAGCCCAGAGTGTGTACCGACTCTCTGTGGCACCCTCAGTTATTTTCATAGTATATTGTAAATTGTTAATTGTTCTTGTAAATAAAATTGTGATTAGTCCCCTGTGACTCTGGCTCTTTGCTGACTAATTCCCCAAGAAAACCAGCACGCCATTTGGAAGGTATTGTTCACCCAGAACAGTTACATGATAATATCCCAAATGAGTGGATCGATGCTTGTGATTTCAATCACTGGATTGTCTGGTCAAGACTCGATTATTAACAGACCACTGGCAAAAAACTGAAATATTGCTGAGTGCGGCGTTAAACTACAAACCAACAAATTCCCAGCTACGGTCATTCCTACAGATCTTCATTGGACCACTATGATTGATGATTGAGTTCCCAATGAATCAAATGCTGCGTTGCAAGTTAACACTTAAATTGGGGAGTGGTTTTCCACTGCAAACATTACAGTTGGTTTCGAAATATTTCTGATTGGACAAGGAATTAAAATTTCATTGATTTTCCTCCTGTGAAGTGGAAAAATATGAATACACTTTGGCAAAAGTAATTCTCAACTACTACCACTTAGGGTATATTATTTTCAAACCCTATTTTATTTTGTTGTCTTTTTTCTCAGTTGTGGCTCCTTCAAGAGAGAGACTCAACCAAAATGTGCACAAATGGTAAGTTTCTGTTTGATACCCGATGGCAGTAATAGAGATGACAACCAATACGCTTTTGGAGTAATAATTCTGCTTTTGAGCCTAAAATTACACTGTTATACTTGTCCTGCCTAGTTTGACATTTTGTTCACAAATTATTTACATGCATAAAATATCACAGAGATCAAATTGTTAATGCACCGGTCAACTGGCACTTTCAAGAGTCAACTGATTGCAAGTACGCAGACATTTCTTTCGGGAATGGAAACAGTGTGTTGTCACATGATGAATTTATGAACGTGTGGAGCTTTATACCAGACACCTTTCACAAGTTTATCCAACGCTCTTTTTGGTCGCCTCCCTGAAAAAAAACGGTGGCTTGGGTGGGTTTGACACACACACACACACACACACACACACACACACACACACACACACACACACAAACAAAAGCTTGAATTAAATGTAAAGTGAATGTTGTAATTTTAAAATTACCAAACTTACATGATGTGTATTTGTTGAAATGTGGGGCAGATGGATGTCACTGATGAAGTTATTGCACTCATTTTCGACTACCTTCTCAATCTTGATGCCATTTTTTTTCAATATCTCTTGTAAGTAAATGTTTCTGCTTATTTTGAGCTTCTTGCTATTTTTCAAAATAACCTTTAAATTTTGAACAGAAGTCCTCTTTACTATTGACTATCCATAATAAGCTGTGCAAGTAATAGTACCTTTGCTTGCCAGTTTTTTTGCGTATGCACAAAACATGAAACCTCACTTCTTTATGTGTGCGCTGGCAACATGATCGTGAAGTAAGGGGTGGTCACATGTTCAAGCCCATTTCTCAGAAAAAAAACAAAGAACAGGAAACATCACAAATTCAATTCTTTATCACAGTTCATAATCTCACTTGTAATTTGTAGTTATGCATATCTATAAGATACAAACAGTCAAAATTAGTAAAGATGTTTGGCCCCTATCCAAGATAGTGTCAACTTGCCTGAAAGTGAGGTGGTGACAAGAGATGTCAAACATGTGCAAGATTTAGACATGCAGTTTAGCTGGGATGGAAAAAGTTGTTTACTGTTACAGTGGAAATGCATATGTGAAAGAGACCATGGGAATTAGCAGGAGAACTAACCTGGAAGTTATTCAAGGAGCAGTGGGCCAGTGGCAGGATATTTCTATCTTGGACAAGTACCAAATTACTTTCGTTAGCAAGCTGCTGCTGTCCCTGAAGAACGCTCGAATAATGTCGTTTCTGAGCCGAGCTCGAGTCAATGGAATACGACTTTAATCTATCATTGGTTTTGTGGCCTATTTTGCAAATCCCACGATTTTCAAAACCTGCGTTTGACAGCAAAGTGATGTCAGTTGCCAGAAGACAATGGTTTGTATATTTTGACACCAGCTTTGGTAGAAATTTCTTTCATCATGTTGCCAATGACATTTACACCAACTGGCCTCGTGGTGAAAGGATTGCCTTGTTCAGGGTACAAATGTGACAGTAAGTGGGAGTAATTTGTATTTATTACGGTGTCATGTTCAAATGAAATGATATATCTGAAATCTTACAAAACAAAATATTTAATTTACGTTAATATCTCGTTATAATATTGCCAATTTTTGCGATGACACATTAATTGGTCACGCTTTACATTGCTATCATGGCAATGGTGTAAGGGAGGTAACTCTTGTGATGTTGATCGAATATGCGTAGGAATTTTAGGAATGTGTTTATGTATTCTGTTATGTTTCAATGTCTTATGTCGAAATATTTTAACTCCCCAGGAGGTATTACGCCCAGAAGATTTGGAGAGGTTCCCATCCATGATGTCCTGTACTGCTTTTGCATCAAGGGACGCGAAGCAATCACAGGATGCCTGAACTTCAGGCTCTACGGAAACGCTGGATGTATTTCCTAGTTCAGGGGCCATCTCAGAACGATTTTCAGCTTCAACAGCTGTTGTGACTAATAATAATAACAAAGTTAGGTGGGTGTATGAAAGTGTTTACTATTACAGAGTTGCAATAAATGTTTTTTACTCTGAAAGAAACTGATTTTGTTTTGTTTTCAATTTGGCAAAGCCCAAGAAAATTACATCGGTTATGATTATGATCATGTAATTAATTGAAAAAGGTACATTTCATTTACCTTCAATGTCTTGAATTATCTCATAAAATGTCACGTCGTCCCATTCGCTGAATATTTCAACGAAATATCCAATATGGAAGTCAGGAAAAATTTCCATCTGTTCCTCAATATTGATGGTTTCAAAAATAGTTCCATTAATTAATGTATACATACACAGGGATGAGACCCAAAAAATTCAGTGATGTTATGCTCATTCGATGACAATTTTTAAGCAATCAGATCAGAGAACATATCTACTTTTATGTTACAATAAGTGATAACAGTGATGGTAAATAATTTCATAATTTTGTCAGTTTGATTTGTCCATTGTTGTCACTTATGTAAATTTTTCCAACAAAATAGAGATACGCCTGATTTTGAAACATGCATTGTACTGGTATTTTCCAAACGTATTGTGATACTTATTCATAAGTATGTTTTACCTTACCTGATGCTACACAGTGCTTTAGCTTCCCTACCTTATACAAACAGACAGAACTGGAACAAAGAGACAGTTCAAACAGACTACAACCCATGCCTCAGCATCCACGAGTTATCCCCCCTGCCCCCTGCCCCCTGCCCCCTGCCCCCTACCCCTCATATTCTTCTGTGTCTGCCCTATGGACAGTCGTGTGCAGGAACAGGAGTTCAACTTACCTTGTTAATTATCTTCAAATTTCGTCTTCAGGTGGTGTTACCCCCATATATCCTTTCCCTGCTTGATATATCCGCTTTTTTGCGGTTTATAGCTTGTAAATTCCATTTTTATTCGTGGCTGCATACCTTAGCAAGTTTCGCGCCTTGGTCACCATTTTAACTTTCATGCATCTCGTGTTTACGAGGTTGCATGTTAATGTACTTTTGCTATAGTTTTCTTAAACTATTAGTGAATCTCTTATTATTATGTTGATTATGGCTTTCTATTGACATAATTCCTATTAATTAGGCGTATTATGTTTTTGAATTGCTTCCAGTCACGCTTAACACCCTGTACTGGTTGTGTTTGTACGCTTGGCTCACATATTGTACAGTAACATGTCTGTGCATCTTATGTGATTCTGCTCGTTACACTATGCACTGTTTACATTTTTTTGCCGAATGTATTCTCTGTGTTGTGCTTTATGTAAAAGGCCCAAGTGGGGGAAAGACCCACATCAGCTTTGCCCATACTGCAAGCCTGCATGCTCGTTTGACCATCGCTGCTCTGTTTGCCCTATCATGTCAGTTACAGAAAGGCTCTTCTTCGTTGCCAGAAACAATTTGCTAAAAGGAGAAAGGTGCCTGATACTTCGCTGCCACCAACCTCTCCCTCTACCTCAAATCCAGCCCGTCAGATCTGACTACGGGTGCTCCTCTGACTACAGTTCCTTCGTGTGCTCCTCCCCAATCTACGCTATCTGCGCCGCTTGATTTTTTTAATCCTACGGCCGTTCGTGCCTTTAGGGAGCAACTCCTTCAGCGTCGTCCAGGCAACCTGCTTTTGTCTCCTGTCAGTCGGATATTGCCGGGTCCCGCCAGTCGCCAGGTCCCTGTCGCCACTCTCATACTCCTGACAACACCACTGATGCCTTTGTCAAGCGCTGTCGTCAGCTATCATGGGGCAGTGTCGCCAGATGTCACCAAATCGTCCTCAGGCGTCACCAGCCGGTGACAACTATCGCCTGACCGTCGCCAGCGATCACCGAATCGACGTCAGCTATTGTCGAACTGTTGGCAGCGATCGCGGGTTTTCGCAAGCTCCATGGGTCATCGTCCAGTTGCCAGGCCGCTTTTTTGTCTTGTACTGTTATACGCCGACCATTGCCTACTCAGCGCGCCTTGTCATCTGTTTTGTGGCTCAGGGTGGCAAATGTCTGGAGTCCTCCCTTCTGACACCTCGCCGCCCTTTGGACGATGAGCAACATTTTGTACCGGACTGTAACGAAGCGCCTCCGACCAAGTCTCTTACTCCTGCGGATATGCCTGCTTGGCTTGTGGATCATCTCCTTTGTGCATCGCCTGGGCAAGGTGACCCCCCAAGTGGAACACAAAGTTTCAGAGTCTGGAGAAGTTCTCCTCCCGAGATTACGGAAGGAGCATTACCCCGTTCCACTCTATGGACTTTGCCATCATGTGAACATAATTTGGACCTTCTGGCTATCACTGAAACTTGGCTTCGATCAGGAGACACCGATCACATGGCTATGCTAACTCCCACTGGATACAAACTCGTTCATATACCCAGACAAGGTAAACGTGGCGGTGGATGTGCCATTGTTTACAGGGATAGTTTAACGTGCTCTATAACAGAGCTCTTGGAACCATCTTCATTTGAGATTCTTTCAGCAAGACCCAAACCTAAGCTTCTGGATACTTTCTTTCATCGAATTCGAAGATCTGACAGATAAACTGAACAATATTGGTGGAAAATTACTGATTTGCGGCGATTTCAACATCCATGTTGACAAAGCAAATGATAGTATTGCACAGAAGCTAAAATCTGTATTTCAAACCAAAAACCTAATTCAACATGTCCTACATCCAACACACAAGGACGGACATATCCTGGACTTAATAATCTCTAGAGCTGATGAACTTTGTTGTCATGACTTTATCTATGACCACTCGGTACTCTCCGATCATTTTTGCATACTGTGCTCTATAAACATCCAAAAACCTGACAGAACTCAAAAGGAGATCAGCTGTAGAAAGTGGAAGGACATCGACATGTCCTTATTCTCTCCTTATATTGAGTCCTGTATAAACTCTCAACAAGTAGACACTGTGTCTGATGTGGTCAAGCTGTATGAGGATACACTCCGAAATACGCTAGACAAACATGCTCCTATGAAAATACGAAGGGTGACCGTACGCCATCAGACAGCCTAGTATAATGAAGATATTC